GCCACCCCCCCCCCCCCCCACGCCCCTGCGGAGCAGCGTCGTCTGAGGACAGCGGCGCGCAGGAGCTCGGGCGGGCACGTCGGCTCTGGGCCCAGGGCGCGCTCGCATCGGGGCGGGGCCATCTCCGTCGGTCAGTTTGTCTCGCAGCGGCGCGCCGCGCTTTGGAAGGGGGGCCCGGCGCCTCGGGCCGATCAGCGGGAGTTCAGCAATTGCCCGCGTGAGGCGCTCGGAGTCAAGGCGGCCCCGGGCGTCCGCGGCGGCGCCCGCGGATTCGCTGTTTTCCGACGGCCCGAGTCGTCGGCTGGAGCGCCCCTCCGGCGCGGGCGCTGACGAGCGACGGCGGCGACAGTTGGAATCTCGCCCGTCTCAGCCCAGCTGCAGTTCGGGGGCTGCCCCAGGAAGGCGCGAGGCTCGAGTCGGACCGGCTGGCGTTGAGGTCATCGCCAGCCTTTGGGTCGCCCAGTTGCTTGGTTCCGCCTTCCTTGCCAGCGGCGGGCCCTGAGGGCCCTGGTCTCGGAGGTTCGGCGGCCCTGGGCCCGCCCTTGAAAGCGCGGGCCCCCGAGTCGTTTGCGCCCGCCCTGCCCGCGAGAGCTGGCGGGGGGAGGGGCGAAGAGACGCGCGCAGTGAAACAGTGAAGCGCGGAGAGGAGGGGGGGGGGGGAGAGGGGGCGGGGGTTCCGGGGCCTTCTTGGCTCTCTCGTGGCTCTCCCGGGCGCTCCGGAGGGCATCCGGGCGCCATCTTGGAGGCCGTCGATCAAAAGAGGTGGGGCCCCTTATCTAGCCCACCCCTTGGGGGCCTTCAAGATCGCTTCCGGTGGCCCTCCCGGGGCCGTTCTTGGGCCGCCCTCGGGCGGTCTTGGGGCCGTCTCGGGGGCCTCTCGGGCCCCCTTCGGAGCTCGCTCCGGCCCTCTCGGGGCCATCTCGAAGCTTCAGAAGCGCACCGGAAGCGAAAAAGCGAGAAGGCAAACGCCCTTTTTTTCTGTCCCGGGGCAATCTGGCTTCTCGGGGAAGTCGTGAGGGGTCTCCAAGGGCACCTGGAACCGCCTTGCGGCCCCCGTGGGGCCTCCTGGAGGCACGTCGGAAGCTGCCCTCAGGCATCTTCGGCTGTCTTGCGCCATCTTTGGCGCCATCTTGGGCGTTGAGATGGTCAAAATAGGACTCAGAGGGGCGCGTGCATAGCGAGCGCGGGGGGCGCGCCGTCGGCGTCTGGCTCGAGACGCAGGCGCCGTACTCGCCAAGATTGACCGTGGACGCAGCAATAGACAATCGCACCTAAAGCAAGACCCGATCAGTCTTCTGGATAGTGCGCCATCTCTCATGTACCTCCCAACCTATCACCACGTGGTCTTCATCCGGCCTTTTTCTTCGTAGCGGAGCTGGCCCCGCTAAATTGCGGACAGCTCTGTCTATCGCAATGCTTATGCACGGCGCGGCTCGGCGCGCCGCCAACGCCGCTGCGACGTCGGAGCGCGACTGCTGACAAGCAGGCGGGAACGCCTTAAGTGGACGGCTATATCCATTATGGGCGACGTCCGTCCGGCTATTCCGAGAAGCGCACGCGCCGCGGTTGTGCCCATTTACTCAAACCTACGACGAACTTGGAAACGAGTTAAGGCGCCAACTTCACTGCGCGGAAGCGCGACACCCATGCTATTGAACCAACATGGGGATTTGCCTCCACGGCCAGTCCGCCGCCCAACGGCGATGGGCGCGCCGGGGGCTACCAGCGGCGATGCCAAATTCTTCTCGTGGAATTTATATTTACAGCATACTACTTTCAGCTTTGATTGGTTGCTCATTCGGCGTGCTATAGGACGCGCGCAACGCGGCTACCGCGACGGCGGGGGCGACCGTGCAACAACAGGCCCGCGCTGGGACCCCAGCGAGAACGCATCGTTCCTCGAGCGGCTGAATGTCGCGAGCGCCCGCGTGACTCCACGGCAACAAGTCGCATGCTTACGGCGTGGTCTGGGCGGGGTGGCGCGCGCCATTGCAATGCCCCCCCCCCCCCCCCCCTTCATTTACTGCGGCGCGACGATGCAAGGCGCCCATGCGGGCCCCGCCACGTGCGCGACGTTCCTCTTGAGCGCCAAATTCGAGATCTTTGAAGACGAGCGACAGCTCGCGTCAGGGACGGCGCTCGTAGACGTCAGGCCCGAGCCAGGTGAGAAAACGGACTCTACCTTCGCCAGGTTCGAAATGCCCCGTCTCGGGGCTGATTCAGTCGGCTTTGCCATCCCGAACTTCCAGCTGCTCGCAGCGGTGCTCTTGAGAGCCCTGCGGTTCGGCCCTGGCAGGGCTGCGCAGATGCCTCGGCCTTTCAGCTGTCAGACGCCGCGGGCCCAACAGTAATATGATGAACTATTGGACCGCGCGCGCAGCTCTGGGCATCTGGCGGAAAGCGCCCCTGGCAACATCGGAAACGCGTTGCCAGGTAGCACGGGGCGCGCAAACGCACGCGCGCGCGCGCCGCAAGCGCCGGCGGAGACGCGGCCGCGCCCAGTGACATATGGGTTGGCGACCCCGACAGTTCAGAGGCGGCCACCGCGCCGCTCTCGACGGCCCCTTGAGGCCCAGGGGCCGGCAGGAGCTCCTCGACGTCATGGGCGCAAAAGGGCTTGAGACATCCCTCCAACCTTCAATCGCGCGCGGCTCCTGATAGCCTGACTGCCCGATGGGGCCAAACCTCCAATGGGGATTCGCGCGTCGACTCCGGGACAGATGCCGACGCGCTATCATCCGACGGACCCGAACGGGTAGATATGTCAGGTCTGCCCCCCGGCCTCGATGATGCGGAAACCGCTGGGCACTTATATTCTTGGGGTGCCAGCGCGCAAATCGCCGCCGGAGGCGGCCCGGTAAGACGCCCGCGCGAAGAGCGCGCGGGGCATGACGGAGAGCATTCCACCGACGGGGGAAAGGGTCGCGGCAATGGCGGTCGTCGCAGCCGACGGTTTCACGGAGAAGGCTTCGCCGCATTCACGGCCGCATTTTCCGACGCCGAGTTTGAAGATGTCCTCCGGGCCAAGGGTCGACGTAGAAATCATTCCACGGGAAGGGGATGGCAGGGATTTCAACCCCGCGGGTCGAAGAGGGAATACGACGCTGCGTTGCCGACGCGGAAGCGTAAACATTTTCAGAGCCAGTGCGGTCCGAGAGGGGGGGGGAGGGGAGACAACGCGGCCATCTTGACGGCTCAAGAAGCAATCGGAGACGCGGAATGCGTCGATTAGCCTTAATTTCGCCAGCTCACAGAGGTCACGGTAATGAATGACAGCGCATGTTTGAAAGAAAGTATCACAAAACGAGGATTCGTAAAATGTTTAATTTTGCAGCCGAATCAGAACAATACATCGCATTTTTTAGTAAACGCAGAAGCCGTTATACTAAATTCACAACGGACGTTCTAATGTTGGGGCCGTCATGGCCTGAGTGGTCCGATCAGAACTCGTTCCCTTTTTATTCAAATACCTTGTTTACATACGTCCATGTCCACCGAAAGTTGATGGTTCGCGCGTTCGACGACATGCTTTCCGACTTTGGCGGGGACGCTACTGCGTGCGACGGGGGCATCTCCGAAGCTCATACGGCCCTTGCTACGCTGGCCGAGCTACATAATGCTGGCATACCCAATATAGCGATAACGCATGAGGAGACGCCTCGGCCGAAACAGTCATGTTGACGGGAGCGGACTTTTCGCGCGGGAACACGCCGAGGCAGAGAATCGGGCCTTCGACTACGATGACACCCGAAGACCTCACGGACAGTGGGTGGGGCATGGCCAGCTCCAGCGCTTATACTATGACGTATCGCGCCCCACGGGGCCGTTCACGTGGCCCTGTGGGAGCGCCGCCCGATTGGGCGGCCCGCGCGCCCACATCTCTCGCGTGGACATGGGCTAGTGGCTCGGCCAAGGCTGGGCCGAAAATCAGAACCGCGTCCCGCGTGCCGTCCAGAGGTGCGAGCGGAGCGATGGGGGCAGGAACGCGCAACTTGCGCATGTTTTGGGCTGCGGGGGCACCGCCCAAACTGCCCCGTGGACCGGGGCAACAGGTCCCCCAATCGAGGTGCCACACCCTATTCGCCACGTCGTGGCGATGGTGTGGGAGCCACAAGGCCCGTGCCTTCGGAGGCCCACCGCATCCCCTACAGCGAGATGGAGCACGCCGCCATCGCCCAGCAATGGGCTGACTTTTCTGAAAACCGCGAACAGAAGGGGCTCAACCTCCAATATCACGAGAGCGAGGAGGAGGCAGGCGGAGACGTTGGAGGGGGTGGCGGAAACGGCGGAAACGCTGGAGAAGCCGCGGAGGGGCACTGCCGATGCCGACCCGAGCGGAAACGCCATTAATGCTCCTGGCGTGGCCGCCTCGTCGGAGGCTGCGCGGGCGCTGCCCCCGAGCCCAATTGGCTCGACCAGGCGGAAGGGTCAGCCAGGAAAAGAGGCAGGCCAGTCAGAAGAAGGGCCAACAACAACGCCCCAAAGGCGCTGGGGAATCAGTGGATACATCCCCCACCCCCTCTTTCGAGCACGCAGACAATATTGACGTTTATGAGTCGGGCTCAGCCACTCCGCCCCCGGGTCCTCGCAGTAAGGGGAGTGATCGATCTGACGAAATCCTGATACCAATTGCGAAGCACCGAACTACATTCGTCGGTCCGGAGAAGCCCATGTTGGAACCCAGACTGGAGGAGGCGTCCGGAGGCCCGCGCCGCCTACCGAAGGGGCCAAGCAGCGAGCAAGAAGGCCCGTATCCAAATCTCCGACGATTTGTTGTTCAATCTTGCGTTTTGTGTTGTTTGTTCCTTCTCTTGGGTTTATAGAGATATCTATCGGGCCCTGGGACCATCAATGATGGACCAGGGCAGAAAACCTGACCATGGGAAAGGGTCGAGACTTAAGGGCCGCGGATTGCAAAGATCACATCCTCGGGGTGCGATCACCTCCCTCCTCGATCGATCCTCGAGCTCTCAGGGCCAAACCTGTGGCGGGCGCGAGGCATGGCCATCATGACTTACACCCTCGCCTTCGGCCTCGCGCCCCTGGTGTCGCAGACCGTGGCGCGGTTCCGGGGGGGGGCGCTCCTTTGGCAGCCGCCCCAGCAGCCGTTGGGCTGGTGGGGGAATTGGGGCAGGGAGGGAGGGATGGAAGGGGAGGGAGGGGGGAAGGAAAAATAGGAGGGTGGAGCAGGGCATGGAGGATATGGCGGCGGTTGGGGGGAGAGAGGAGGGGGGGGGAGGGGTGATGTAGGAGGGGTGGGAGATGGAGGCGGAAACGGAGGGAAAAGGGAGGAGGAGGAGGAAGGAGGAGGAGGAGGAGGAGGAAGAGGAGGAGGAGGAGGAGAGAAGGGAAGAGGATAATGAGCATCAGCAGGAGAGCCTATCCGGGACTATTCGGATAAACGAAGGCACCACGGATATGGATGGCAGGAAGGGAGGAAGGACACCTTTTGGGATGGGTCCTGGCGAGGCTCGGCCCCCGTACCATGAAGAGCGAGAGGCTCGTCGGGGCGCTGCTCTGGGCGGCGCTCTTGGTCCTGAACGTGCTGGGGACCGACACCGGCCTTGCCCGGGGCTCAGGAGCGAACGTGCCGCCGGCGCCACCGTCAGGGGGTCCTGGGGCTCACGGGATCTCGAGGTCTTTCGTCATTTTCCCTGGACCTCGCTCCCAGTACCATCCCTGGATCCCAGGGCCGGGAACCGTTTGGGGTGAAGAGCTGGTCCAGGCGGAAAGCCCCAGGGCCTGTTTCCCGCAGGGGTCGTCTCCGTCCTTCCCAGCACGCGCCGTCGACGACTGCGACGACGGCGGCAGCGGCGACCTCGACGACGGCTTCACCCAGGGCTCAGGGCCCGGGGTGCGCATCCGCCCTTCCCAGGTCGCCCGTGGCCCGCCGTCATTCCCCATGTGCGTTGCGCTAAGGAGAAGGGGAGGGGTGGAGGAGACGGGAGGAGTCGGACCGCCTAGGGCGCATTTCAATGCATCAGCGGTGGTGCAGTCTCTGTGAGTATAGAATGTCACTGGCGTCTGGGTCCTCGGGGGGCCCAGTGTCAGCACACTTTTCCAAGCCTCTCCCCCGCATCAAACAACCGCAACCCACTCTAGCGCCAACCGTCCAGGGTCCATTATGTAAGTTGTGGAGGGCGATCTCGCCTTCCCAAGGCTTTCAAAATTGCTCAGGAGGCCGCCCAGACGCCCCAGGCCAGCTGACGACGCTGAACAATGACTCCAGGGCGCCCCAAACACATCACAATCTGCCTCGAGAGATGCCAATATCTACGTAGTAATCACGACAACCAGGTTTTATGTTCGTTGTGGTTCCCATGCTATTTTCTATCAAATTGGGGGCACTCTAGCGAGTCCGCAGATGACCCCACAACGCCGGAAGAACGCACCAGTAGGACCTTGACACGGCCCAAGGGAGTCTCCAGAAGGGACCCGGAGCCCCAAAACGGCCCAGGATAGAAAATTCAACATGGGTCCCCGAAGCCATCAAGGTTGCCCAGGATATAGGATGAGCCGATATGTTCGGACACACGCGTGGGAGGTGACGTCGTCGACGATGGCGGTTGCACCTTCACGTTCATCTTCATCTCCGCATCATTGGTCCTAGTCCTATTCCGTCTGGCCATGTTGCTCACTACATGTTGCCCCTTTTATTTATGGGGCCGTGCTATAGTTGCTAAAGTATCGCATGTTGTTTGCAGTCTGCGCAGACGCAGGTGGTAAACACAGGACTTCCTCCTCCACCTCCTTCAACGTCCTCTGTGTAATTGTCTCTGCCTTGTGATTGCCTCACTTGTGCCTATCTCTTAAGCTATGTATTGTCGGTTTGTTGCTGCTGTTTCCCACGGGTCCCCGACCCTTACATGGCCACAAGGCCGTGCACGATACCATGCGGGAGACCACACGAGAGATTGTGCGGGAGACCATGCTTGAGCCCAGACCCTAGACCATACGGGAGACCACGCGCAAGAACACACATCGTGAGAGTGTCCACAGTTAATTTCTAGGGGCTAATTCTTCTCAGGGTACCCTTGCGTCCTTGCCTCCGCGGCCAGTCCTTCGCCGCTTTCATTGACCATCCCTTCAGGGTACCGTTTGTGCGGGCGACGTCGTTCGAAACCTTCCTTCGGTGGTCAAGGTCCTTACGGCCCGCTCTTATTATAGATTGTGAAGGCCTTGCGGTTGTTTGAATTTTTCTTCCGCCGTCTCTGCGACGCCGCCGCCGCCCGCCGTCGTAGCGCCATAGTGCGCTTCGACTCCTCCTTATCCTCTTTATCCTCCTCCTATTCCTCCTGCTTTTTTCTCGTCCTGACAGTCTCCTTTTCCCCTCCCTCTCCTCGTTCTGGGCGCTGCGGCGCCATTGTGCTTTAACGTGCATCCTCCTCATCATCGCCGCCGTCGCCAGTGCAACCCCCAAGACCACCCCTCCATATCATCGCCATCGCCACCTCCATCATAATCATCTCATGTCTTCGGCGCTGCAACGCCCTTTGGTTTTGGCGTCGTTGTGGCCCCGCGTCAGGGTCGCCGATGCCTCCCCTTCCTTGTCCTTCCCGCGCCCCTCCCGACCTTCTCCTCTCCGACGCCCCCATCCTTGTCGGCGCTCCGTCTGAGGCCGTGCACGGGAATTGCAGCGCCAATTGTGCCGTGCCTCATCATCATCGCCCTCGCCCTCATCACCACCGCAACCGTCGTCAGCATCATCGCCATGATCGCCGTCGGCGGCGGGGAGGCGGGAAGCGCCTCAGCGCAGCGGCGGGCAGGGCAGCGGCAACCGCGTCGCGCTTGGGGGGGCGCTGCGATGCGCCATGATGCGTCGCGCGCACGACCCGTTTTATTATGATTCGTATCGCTATCATTATTTTATCAATTTAGTTATTTATACGCATCAAAAGAACAACACACACCCACCCACACACACACACATACACACAACAACAACAACAACAACAACAACAACAACAACAACAACAACAACAACAACAACAACAACAACTACACACACACGCACACACATACACATTCCCTCCAGGCGACAAGCAGCTAACCGGGACCATTGAGCCCCCCCGCCCACCATTCTTTGTAAAAAACAATGCAAATTCATGCTGCTTCCAAATTTGGCGCATGCGCGGGCGCCCCGCGACCATTTTGCATTGGCTTTTGGCAGGAAGGGCAGGTGCGCCAGCGTATTGATTGCTGCGGGCAGGCCAACCATCCGTACCAACAACCAATTCAGTAACATGTTTTGGCTCCGAGTCTGGAGCATCCCCAGGACCCTCTGTTGTCTGAGCTTGTTTCTGTTTCACGAACCCTCAAGATGTCACAATTTGTCCATCGGTGCCGGTGCTTTGCGCTCCCTGGAATAGCCGCTCTCCTCACATAATGTTTGGCGTTTCTCTTGGCCTGCCCTTCTCAGGTCCCGAGCGCAGAGGGGGCGTACGTCTCCGTGACATACCCCCCAGTCTGGTTGGGCAACTTGGACATGAAGGACGACCAGTCCATCGCGGGCGGAATTACGGCGGCCTTTGCTGGGGAAACGAAGCGCACCTCCACCCCCACCTGGCCCCCTCCCCCCTCTTGGGACTGGGGCAAAGAGATCCGGCTCCCGACAGGATGCCCATCAAAAAAGGCATGACAAGTACACCCCCATCCTTGCTGCCCCCTGCCTCTCCGAGGAGGGGGGGCCAGGTGTCCGTGGGGGTGTTCGGTTGCTCCCCTATGGGGTGGAGCGGGACCTGGGCTCCAGCGTGTTGAAGAGTCGGATGTAGGGGCATTGGAAGGAGGGCTGGAGGAGACAGAGTGGGATGAAGGGGGGGTGACGAAGACAGGGTGTGGAGCGATGGAGTGGGGTAGAAGGAGGGAGGAGAGGGTGAGGAGGGTTGCAGGGGAGGGGCATGCGGAGAGAGAACAGAGGGGGAGGGATGAAGAGGGAGGTGGATGAGCGAGGTGGGAGGAACCATTAGCGATTATGGTTAACTGTTGTGGTTTAGTTGGCGTCACGTCTACAATAATTATGGTGGAGCTCGCAGAGCAGGAGTCACGGCGGGAGCCCCAGAAGGCATCCAGGCTGTTCTTCAGCGGTTGGGCATCTAAGTGTCCTCTTTGTCTACTAGGCCATCTTGGGATCTTTTTGTGGGCCTCTGAGAGTTGTTGTTTTTTTTGTTGGGGCTGCCTCAAAGCTCTCTTGGACAGTCTGACGCCTGCGGAGGCCGTCTCGGGGGCTTCCATGGGCTGTTTTGGGGTCGCCTTGAGCCGTCTTGGGGCCCTCTCGGCCCCTTTAGAGCTTGGGGGTCTGTTGGACCGTCTTTGGTCTATCTTGGAGGCTTCGAGGCCATCTTGGGCTGCTGGAAGTCCGCAAGTCGAGAACTCAACAATAGTTGAAGCAGAAGACCACCAATGCTTTGTGCCTCTGCTGGCTGGACCTCCTGTGGAGCCTCATTAAGCCAGCTCGAGCTGTATCGGCGGCGTGTTAGGCCATCTTGAAGCCATGCCATCCGTTCTTGAAGTTCTACTGCGACTCCATGCGGCTATTGGAGGCCAGCTTGCGAATCTTGGAGGCCATTTGGGATATCTTGGAGGCTATCTTCAGCCACCTTTACCATCTTGGAGACGCAACTTCTGGACGTGGAGGTCCTTTCCAGTGGCCAGCGGATTTGGCTGGAGCATTGGGAACCTTTTGAAACTACCAGAAGTACTCGCAAATCCGGCGTGCCAAGCACCCTTTTGCAAGTATAATCGGGCGGCAAATCAAAGGCACTTTTGGTGAACTAACACTGCGCCCCTGTTGTTTTGAAACGCTTGTGTGGTCAAACATTGGGCCGAAGTCTTGCCAAGCTTTTGGATTATGTGTCCTGTCAGCCGTTGTGGAAACCTTTGAGAAAACACTTGGGGGAGGAAGCGAGAGGAGGACAAGGAGGAGACAGGAGGTGGCTCAACATCCGAGTCCGAGAGAGGGTGATGCGTCTTGTCTCCCACCCCCAGGTGTTCGTGGCCATCGTCCGATAGGCTGCGCCCACGCCGTCAGGCCAGTGGTTCACAGATGGTAGTTCAGAGCCACCTGGGCCTTGGGATGTGAGGGTGTTCAGGTTTGGCGACTCGCAGAGGGGGGTGGCGCGAGTGGAGCGGCCTTTTAAGAGGGCGGGGTGCTCGCTAGACGGCAGGTGTCTTCTTGCAAGGGTAGGCGGTTCTAGTACGCGTTATTGGGATCGTATGAATCCGTATGAAAGCATGTGGGCTCCATGAATCTGCCCCCACCTTCCCCACCTTCTTGGAAACCTCTTCTCGCGCTGCCCCCTTGCTTGTGCCACCAAAATACCTCACGGCAGGGCGCAGCATGGTCCTGGGCGGGCATGGTGGTTGTGCGTCAGTGCCTTCTGCGAAAGTGGGCCCAAGAACAATTGCGCAGACAGGGGCCGTAACAATCAAGATCGATGCGGTACGGCTGCTCGTCACGCTAGCTACCTGACCCTGCACGTCGAGGGTCTGGTCTGCTTGTTTTTCCTGCGGCCCCCCGGGCCGTTGATTCAAGTGGCCCCTGGGCCACTGAAAAATGCAGCCATGAAGGTTGACGATGAAGAACGGTTGGCAATTCAGAAAATGCAGGTTGACGGTGAAGAGTAGAGTGCAAGTTTGTCTACAATTGCAGGCCGTCAACTCAGAACATCCCCCCGCCCAAGGGCTCTTTTCATGATATAAGCGGCGTCTGGGTTCCAGGCCCGGGGGGAGACCACTTTTCCAACACTTCCCCGCCCCCCCAGGGTATCGGCGCCCTGTGGATTTTGTGTCGGCTTCAAGAGTCGTCAAACACAATTCCGGCATACGAACGGCCAACACATTGCTTGTGGAAGGCCCCAGACGGAATTCCAGAGAACCCCAAGGAGGTTCAAAGACGTTCCCAAGGAATGCCAGGGAGGGCTAAAATAAGCGTTTTTTCATGATATCGAACTCGGTGGACACAGGGTGCCGTTTTTGAGAAGTTTCCGTGGTGTGGTTTCGTGGTCTCGGGGACGCGCGCCGTGATTTGCAAAAGGTGTGTCTTTTGGAACGCGATCGCACTGTAAGTGACCAGAGGGTGTAGCCTCGGAAACGCGAGCCCGTTACAAGTTACGAGAGGGTGGCTTCGGTAACGCGAAAGCGCCGTGCGTTACAGGGCAGTGTGGTCCCGGAACTGCGGGCCTGTTGTAAATTACTATTCAGTATGGCGTCGGAGGTGCGATTTTGTTGTGCTTGTGTTTTTCCCATGGCACCCCCCACAAGTTATGATTGCGTGATTTGGGGGCTAGGGCTGGCCCTCTTCGAGGTCCTCCCCCTCGCGCGGACTTCAATCATCGCAGCCAGGAACGTTTTCCGCCTCGCAGCCTGTTGACCCCCAAGGGAGCCGGCAGATGATATTTAGGTTCGCACGAGTGACAGAATTGATTTGAACATCGCCCCCAAAGATGCAATTTTGAATCGCGAGTCCTCATTATTCGCGGCGTCCTCGTTCTCCTTTTCTGCCATGGCCGCGGCCTCGGGGCATGGGGGGGCCGTATGTTGCAGCGAAGGTGGCGTGCAGGTCGCAACACTTCTTTCCGAGGTGTGCAGCATGTGCACATCGTCGCGGGTCCTCCGCCTACGGGCTGCTGGGAGGGAGGCCGGTTGTGCTCACAGAGTTTCCCGCGACATTCAGAGTGTTGTCCAGTGTTATCTCCTCGTCGTCCTCCTCCCCTTCTTCCCAGCTGATGTTCGAGCACGCGCTTGTCTGTTTGACATGCACACAGCGCGCTGCGCTCGTCACGCGCTGTGGCCAATCATGGGCGTTGCCCGCGCAGTGCATTGCGACGTCTGGATGTGAAGGTCGGCGCTTTCTGCACGCCTCGGCCCCCTGTACTGGAGGCGCGCGGCTCCCGCTGGGGTTACCACTGGTCCTCCTGCAGGTGCCAGGGGATGCCGACATGTACCCGTGACCTTTGACGAACGACGACCAGATTCACATCCATCCCATTGTGATATGGACTCCGAGTCGCGTTTCCATGGACACGACCCATGCGGGGCATCAGCGCAACGCCGCCCTGTATCCAGGGGGTAGCGGTCAAAGAGAACAGACCGCGAGGCCGTGGATATGGATACGGTTTCCACCCGCGAATATTGGATGAGAAAGTGACGATTCTGTGGTACCCTGTGTCAGTGCCCTGCTCTTTCCTGAGTTTGTGAGCGCCCCGCGTCACCCTCCTCCCTCCTTCTGTCCTTGCCTCTGCCCTTCCTCGCGTCACTCCTCACGCGCTTCGTTGCCCCGTAGGAAGCTCTACGAAGGCCCCAGTAACAGGGCCCGCATGCGTCCACTCGCCTGTTCCGGCACATCCCTCACACGCTCCATGGCCTCGTAGGGAGCTCCACCGAAGGCCCAAGTAGCGCGCACGATGCTCAGCAGCATGATGCCTGAGTCGTGGCTGCCACGGGAGAGAAACAGTCAGGGCCGCCATCGCGCAGCTGGCAGCGACGAGGCGTCACACGGACACAAGGCTCGCGACGATGGGACAGTACATGTTGGTCACGCGGCTCGCCGGCGTCAGTAGAGCCAAACGCTACACCAGGATCAAGGGCGGTCCTGGTCGCGAGGAGGGTGTCGGGAGGGAAGGGGAGGCTTGTGCCAGGCAGGGCCCGCATGCGCCCCCCTGCCCATCTCGAAATACCCTTCGCACGTTTCGTGGCCCCATGGGGAGCTGGGCTCCACCGACGGCCCAAGTGGCAGCGCCCGCGTGCGTGCCCGCGCCCATCTCGGTACACCCCTCACACGTTTCGTCGCCCCAAAAGGGAGTTGCCCCACACGTTTCGAAGACCCCAGTGGCAGGGTTTCATGCGTCCCCCCGCCCAGTTCAGCACACCGCTCAAACGTTTCGCGGCCCCATGGCGAATTCCACCGATTGCCCCAGGGGCAGCGCCCGCATGCGTCCACCCGCCCATTCCTGCGCACTCCTTGCACGTTTCGTGGCCCCTAAGCGAGGTCGTCCGAAGACCCCAGTGGCAGCGCCCGCATGGGCGTCCGCGCCCATCTCGGCACACCCCTCACACGTTTCGTTGACCCATGCAGGGACCCATCCAAGGCCCCAGTGGCGGGGCCGCGGGAGCGGCAAACCAGCATCTTCTTCTCCTCCAGGCTTGCGGAGCAGGCCAAATGCAGGCCAGACCTGCGGCAACATGATTTATGCTAAGACGTATATGCTCGATAACGTTGGTTTGCATTTTGAATGTCATGTTTGTTTTTTGGTAGAGGGCGTGTACTTGTTCAGAAGAGCCCCTAGACCCACCTCTCGGGGGGTCCGGGCTCCTCCAAGACAGCTCCATTCACCCTTGGCACTGACCGTGGCCCCGATGCTAGCTAAGATTGGTGGACACGCCCTGCCGGATTGGGCCAGTTGGGGGTCTCCATCGATCCTGGCCTCGCATTGGCATGACCAGGTTCGATGCCAGTGTGTGCTTGATGCGAGTTGCGCACGGAGCCCGCAGATATAGTCCCAGCTGGCCTGAGCATGCCGCCGGGGCATCACAGGGCATTCACAACGTCACACCCCAGGACGCGGATCCGAGCGCCCAGGGGCGTCGCTGGAGGCGGCGCCAGGTATTGAGACCGCCCCGAAAGACGCGGGAATTTCCCAGGAGGCCTCGTGCAGGCTAGCCCGGATTGCCTCCAGGGGCCACTGGCGCCATAGCGCGAAGCCGTGCAGACACCCTCGGCGGTTGTAGGGCCCTGCGGCACTGGGCCCTACGGACGGGGGGCCCCAAACAATCGTAATTTCAGCATGGGGTCCCGTCCTGTTCTCAGGGTTGCGTCCCTCAGGACCCCATCTGTGAACGGCCGAGCAGGCATTTGGCGTCCTCCCCCGCAGGCGCTGCTGTTCGTGGCGGCGTTCGCGTTTCTGCCGCCCTTCGCGCGGGGCTTGGGGGCCGTGCGCGGCCGGGCGGGTAGTGGTGCGGGGTGGCGATTAACAGAAGCTCCCAGGGCCCGTGGCGCCAGCAGAACAGCAACGCAGCTGGTTCTGGCCAGTGGGCGCGCCAGACTGGAGCGGAAACGGAAACTGCAATTCCGGAACGGAGAATTTGATTCCGTTGTCTTTTTTCTGTTTTACGAGTGTCAGTTTGCCCGTGCTCAGCATTGATTGTACGGTTTTCGTTGTTTGTGCCCGCGTGTGTTTGTTCCAGTTGTTTGGTCAGAGTGTTGTGTTGCTCGGGTTCTTGTGCCAATTTCCTTTTTTTCGTTCCCGCCTTCCGCTTTCAAGTGCCATTTGACCCGCTTCCAGTCTCAATTGTCGGTGTCCGGTTTGTGTTAGTTGGTAATTCTGTTTTGGTATTCGGTTTTTGGTTGTTGTTTCAGTGTGCCCGTTTTTCGGTCTATGTGTTTCGGCTGTTCATTTGTTGATCTGTGAGACGTGTTATGTATGATTCCCCAATCAGAGCTTGCGTCTGTAGGGGTCCTAACGGATTCATATGGTTAGGTGAGGTTTGTCACCGATTTCCGCGGCCCGCCCGGGTGCCCGGGTGTTTTATAGCCCCTTCGGCCTACAGCCTTATAGCCCTATAGCCACATAGCCCAATAGCTCCATAGCCCTATGGCCCTATAGCCTCATAGCCCAATAGCCCTATAGCCTTATAGCCCTATAGCCCTATCGCTTTAGATGCCTATAGCCCTAAAGCCCTATAGCCTGACTCAAATCATGTTGGCTCAAGTCTGGGGCTCAAGTCTGGGGGTCACTGCACTCACTTGCTAAAGTGATGGGGAGAACAGGGACGGTAAGAAAAAGGGGGCTCCTGCGGGAGAGAAATCCGGCTCAACGCCCGAGCGACGACGGGCCAAATTACAGCAGGTTCTTCAGGATGCGACGGGCGACGAGGATTCGAAGATGGGCGAGGTGATGGAGCAGTCTCTGGAGTGGTTCACCATGTACGCGACGATGCAGAACACTAATCTCGACAGACTCCTGACGAAGATGATGACATGAACGACAAGGTCGATGCAGTCAAGGCGAAAACCATGGAACTCGATGAAAAGGTTACTGACTTGGAGGTGGAGCTTGGGAACGTGAAGCTGGACATCGAAGATATGGTCACGCAGGACTCCATGAGCGACATGATGCAGGAAATGCTTAAGGAGAAGATGAAGGAACAGGGGGTGAAGGAGATGATCAGGAAGGAGTTGGAGGAGATGGTGAAGAAGGAGGGGTTTCCAGAATTGGTGGCAAACGTCTTGCGTAAGACTGGAGGTCCCGCAACAGGAGCCAGCAGCGGGGCGCAGAGGACGGCGGCTAAGAAGTCTGAGGAGGCACTCGAGCGTACCGTGGTTGTCGGCGGGTTCGGGCGGGATTCGCTGGGCACAGAGATCACAGACGGTAGCCGCTTGCGGGCGATAATTCAACATACCCCCCTTTCGGCCTCTCTATGTTTTCATCCCCGTTCAATGGATTTAATTGTGGATAGGGGCGCGGAGGCCGAACTTGATAATCCACGGGGAAAATTGCGAATCGAAGTTGCTATTATCTTTTGTTGATTAGCAACAGCATCAAACACGCTGAGCGTGGCCATACTTGCTCTCACCATATCAGCTTCCGGTTTGGCAGGGCTGTGGAATTCTCACCAGTTCAGTTTGCCCAGGTCACGAACGTGCGGCAGGGCCATGAGATTCTCACGTTCTCAGCCGTTCCCGAATCAGGAACGTGTGGCAGGGCCAAGGACCTCTCTTGCGCTTGCAAGTTGTAGGCACGAGTCTCGAAATCTCTCGAGTCAGTCTTGTGCCGAGCACCTGCTGGCAAGTTGTAGCCACGAGCATCGAGATCTCTCGAGTCAGTCTTGTGCCGAGCGCCCAGGATCACTATCATCATGATCATCGTCATCAGCATCATTATCATCATCATCATTATAAGCTCACCTTCCCCAGGAAAATCGTTGGTTCTCCCCCTCCAGACCCCCGAAGTTCAATTTATCTTCCGGCGTATCATTATCGTCCGCACAGGGTTATCAAAGCGGGGCATGGGTACTCGGACGGCAGTGTGGAGGGTTCAGAGGAGATCTTCGTCCGGGGCCGCCGGAGCAGCATAGGTTTCATCAGGTTCAAAGGCACCCAGGGCAAGAAGGACTTCTTGACGAACTTGAAGAACAAGGGGGATGTCACGGTCAACGGCTGGAAGCTGAGGGCGAACGACGACAAGGACGAGGCAACCCGGTTGAAAGAGAAATTGGTGGCTAAAACGGTGAACGCGATAAAGGCGCATTCGGCAGCTCTTTCTGGAGTGGTGGAACGCTTGGACATTGGGGAAGCATTGCTTGGGTGGACAATGTCCGGGCATGGGAATGGGATCGACACCAGGAGGAATTCAAGGTGGCAGTGGACGGCATCTCGGACCTCAAGCTGGCCTTCACCGGAGTGGACATCGTGAAGGAATGGACGAAATAAGTGGGCATGCAGGAGTAGGGCCTGTTGCCTCGTGTACTTACTGGATCTGACACGAGACCAGTACCTCATGACGATCGGTTTCATCTAGGCACCTCTTCCCCTTCCCCTGTCGTTTTGCTTCGTCCTCCTCGGCCGCTCCCTCCAGCTGGCGACCCCCAGTACTTCAGCATGCTTATCGTTCCCTTTCGCCGGACCCCTGCGCGGAACGACTTGGGTTTGCAAGTCTTTGTTCGCGTACGGCTGCGGGGATACTCGCAAGAGAGCTTTAGAAATTGCTTCAACCCACGAATTTATGATTCTTACGGAAATTCGGAAGACTCCCGAGTTCTACCAGGATGTCGGTGCAAGTCAACAGGCATCAATCAATATTTCGGAGGAGTTGGCATTATGATCAAGATTTTGTTTCAACAGCGTTTCGTTACTTGTTATGAGGAGGTGTTGATGGAGGGCCGGATTATATGCTTAAGGTTGCGTGTTTCTACCAGGGAGTTGCACATCTTCGGCGTCAACCTGGATTTGGCGGACACATCCCCAATGATCACAGCTATTGCGGGAGGGCTTCAATTTGGAACCTGACAGGTTTCTGAAAGCTGATGGAGCGTGGTCTCTTGGTGGCGACAGCCCTGCGGCGAGGGCGTGGGGGGGGCAGATTACTCGAGCAGGCGCTGCGGAATGGGCCCATGACGACTTCATGTGACACTGGCATTGTCTTCTCTCGTACTGACCGTGTTTAATGACGCTTGCAGCCCGCATTCAATCACACTCGGGAGGTGAATTGTCACGTCCTGGATCGCTGGCCGCATCTATCTTCACATCGTCCCGTGTCTTTCGTATTGGGCCGCGGGGTGGAGGCCCTAGTATTCAGAGCGCCTGCGTGGGTATCCTCTCACAAGGTATTCTGCCAAGAGGTGTCCACGGAGTTTCACTTCGACGACACACGTTGTTCGGAAAATGTTTTCGCAAAGCTGGGTTTGTTCAAGCTTGCCGTGAAAAAGGTTGTGAAGTTCACAAAGGTCAGGAACTCACCTGCGTCCACGACGGTTAGGTTCCCCAGGGCATTGGACCGCAATGACT